ACATCTCTTTGCCTCTGCTCCGATCGCCTCATCATCCTGGGCGACTTTAACCTACACTTCACCCCCTCCTGCTCCATCTCCACAGACTTCTCTTCCCTGCTCTCCTCACTCAACCTCTCCTTACACATAAACTCCCCCACTCACAGTCACGGCCACCCACTCGATTTGGTGATCACCCGGGGCCTCAGTGTCTCGGATGTCACTATTACCGACAAGGCCATCTCTGACCACCACTTCATCTCCTTCACCACCTCCACCCCCCTCCCCACCTCCACCAGACCCACCACCATCTTCTACCGCCCTTGGAAGAAGTTACCCCCACAATCCCTAACCGATGCCTTGGAGTCCTCTGAACTCCTCTCCCTCTGGCCTTCAACCCTCACCGACCCCTCTTCTCCTCTCTCCCTCCTCCACAATACCCTCTCCTCCACACTCGATACTCTTGCCCCCATCACTTCCCGCACTGTCTCCTACTCCCGCTCCTCCCCCTGGTACACCACCCACCTCCGCTCACTGAAAAGCCAGGTGCGGGCTGCTGAACGCACCTGTGTCAAATCTGGCCTAACGGTCCACCGACAAATCTGGCTGGACCTCCTCAAAATTTACCGCTCCACTCTAGCCTCGGCCAAGTCGTCCTTCTACTCCAGGATAATCCTGGAGGCGAAGAACAACCCCAGGCTACTGTTTTCCACCACAACCCGACTCCTCCGTCCCCCCCGCCACCCCGCGCAGGTCATCTCCTCCAACCTTCACTGCGAGGAGATGCTGGATTTCCTTGAATCCAAGATCAAGGGAATCCGCTCCGCGGTCACTTCCCCTCCAACTTCCACCCACCACCCACCCCTTCCCTCCCACACTCCGACTCCTACCCATCCTCCCCTACACACCTTCGTACCCGTTTCCCCACCCTCTGTCACTGAACTCATCCTATCCCTAAAACCAACCACCTGCTCCCTTGACCCCATCCCCACTCCACTCCTTATCTCCCAGCTCCACTTTCTTGCCCCACATATCACTGACATCATCAACCTGTCCCTCTCCTCTGGCTCTGTCCCCATTCCATTAAAAACTGCCATCATCACGCCCACCCTGAAAAAACCCTCCCTTGATGCGTCGCAGCTATCAAGCTACCGGCCCATCTCCAACCTCCCCTTTCTCTCCAAGGTCTTGGAAAGAGTTGTCGCCTCCCAACTGCGCTCTTTCCTTTCCACCCATTCTCTTTTCGAACCCCTTCAGTCAGGTTTCCGTGCTGCCCATAGCACAGAAACTGCCCTGGTCAAGGTCACCAATGATATCCTGACCATCTGTGACCAGGGCTCCCTCTGTCTCCTCGTCCTCCTCGACCTATCGGCAGCATTCGATACGGTCGACCACGCTATCCTACTCCACCGCTTGTCCTCCCACCTCAACCTTCAAGGCACTGTCCTTGAATGGTTTAGGTCGTACCTTTCTCACCGTCTTCATTTCGTCTCGACGAATGGCTTCTCCTCCACCCCCCGCACTGTCTCATGTGGTGTCCCTCAGGGCTCTGTCCTCGGTCCCCTCCTCTTCACCCTCTATATGCTCCCCCTTGGTGACATCATCCGCAGACATGGAGTTAACTTCCACATGTATGCGGATGACACCCAACTCTACCTTTCCTCCTCTACTCTCAACTCCACGACCACCGATGTCCTGACAGCCTGCCTGTCCGACATCGAGTCCTGGACGAGAGACAACTTTCTTCAGCTCAACGTGCGAAAAACCGAGGCCCTCCTGATTGGCTCACGTCAGCGCCTCCGCACCTCAGGCGCTGACACCATCAGCATCCAAGGCTGCACTCTCCACCTCTCAAAGCCAGTCAGGAACCTCGGCGTTTTGTTCGACCCTGAGCTGTCCTTTCTCCCTCACATCCGCACCACAACTGGCACCGCCTTCCATCACCTCCGGAACATCGCCAGACTACGGCACTACCTCACCCCTCACGCTGCTGAAACCCTGGTTCACGCCTTTGTCACCTCAAGGCTGGACTATGGGAACTCTCTCCTCGCCGGCCTTCCCGCCACCTCCCTCCACAAGCTGCAGGTCATTCAGAACTCTGCAGCTCGTGTACTGTCCCGCACCAGGCTTCGGGACCACATCACTCCCACCCTCGCTCGCCTCCACTGGCTCCCCATCCCCCAGAGGATTGATTTCAAGATCCTCATCCTCACCTACAAGGCCATTCACGGCCTTGCTCCCTCCTACCTCTCCAACCTACTATCCCCCTACCTACCTGCCCGTACCCTCCGTTCCTCTGGCTCCGGTCTGCTCCACGTCCCCCGCCCCAACCGCCCTACCATCGGTGGTCGGGCCTTCAGCCTCTCAGCCCCCAGGCTCTGGAACTCCATCCCCCAGTGCCTTCGCCTTGCTTCCTCCCTTTCCTCCTTCAAGGCCGGTCTCAAAACCTTTCTCTTTGACCGTGCCTTCAGCTCCCCTCTCGACTCTCTTCCCCTCCTCGCTCCCTCCCTTCCCTCCCCTCACCCTGACCATTTCCCCCTCCTTGCTCCCTCCCTTCCCTCCCCTCACCCTGACCATTTCCCCCCTGCTCGGGTCATGACCCAACTGTGCAGCGCCTTGGGACGTCCTCCTGACGTGAAAGGCGCTTTATAAATGGAATCTTGTTGTTGTTGTTGTTGTTGTTTGTGGGACACTGCTGAGCGGAATTGGCTGCCATATTTCACCCACAAAGTATACAGTCAATTCACTTTACAGTATATTTCATGAAGTGCTTGAAGAGGTGTCAAAAATGTGATAAGGCGCGATATCAAATGCAACGATTATTATTATAAGTTGTTGTGCTGTGTGTTCTCCCATATCCTGGGCATCCCTTGGGGCTTTTTGAGGAAAGTTCCTCGGTGTCCTGGCCAACAACAGGCCAGATAAGATTTGTCATTCACTTCATAATCATTTGTTTTTTGACAAGAACATCTGGTAAAATCTCTACATTTCTTCTCTTCGTGTAACCATTTTTGAAATTTCATTGCAACATTTGACGCCTTGTTTTTTATTCCTCTGTCATTTTTAGGAAAATGCATTTTAAAACACACAAACATTGCTGTTAATTCTCTGTAGTTCCACAGCGCTGACTTCTGGATGCATAAAGTGTGACACTCAAGCTACCACCATAGGAACATCAACAAACTATTTGACGTTCAGACTGACTGCAAAGGTAGACATTCCAGAAAATACTAATAATCCTTGCATTTGATATAGCCCCTTATCACGTCTTCATGTCTCAAAGCGCTTTAAAGAATATACTGTAAAGTGAGTTGACTGCATATTTTGTGGGCAAAACACGACAGCCAATTATGCACAGCAGTGTCCCACAAACAGTTGTGGAATGAGTGAGTAAATTATTTTTCTGAAGGGATTATTATCCCTGGAAAAGCAATCCGCCAATTGACTAACGATCGGGTTCCGACTTACTGCTAGGTAAACAGAGGTGTGTGTAGGAAATTTGCCTAATGTTTTTCCCTGCTTGGGAATCGAACCCAAGCCCTCTCGTCCATGAGGCGAGCATTTTAAACAGTAAGCTACAGGACTCCATGTCAACAATTGGCTGCTGCAATTAGACTTTGCAGCACAAGCTTTAAAACAGAATTCAGTGTGACTGTGCTATTAAACTTTTAATTCAATAGTGATTTGTAGCAATCATATTGCAAGTCTTAAAATGCTCCAATAATCAAATATTATTCTTTGCATTCGATATAGAACTTTTCATGTATCAAAGGCGTTTCACAGAATTTAATTCTTGGATCACCTGATATTGACGTGAAAAGCGCTATATCAAATGCAAGGATTATTATTATTATTATTATTATTATTGTGTTAATCTTGCACCAGAATGTGCAGAGCAGCTAGTGACTATTATGCTTAGGAGGGGCTCTCATTGGAGCTGAAGTCTATTCTGTGGCGATCTTGGATGTCCAGTTAGATTGCAGGACTCCAGGAAACTGTTGATGACAGCCTAAATAGTCAGCAGGATTTGGAGGGACATTCAGCTCCTATTAATCATGCTAGCCAAAGGCGTAATGGGTTAGGGTGATCTTTGCTAACCATCAGGAAGCTGGTCAGACAGTGCCATTGCAAGCCATGCAGTTTTAGTTGTTTAAACTCCAGCAGATACTCGAGATCCATAAACCTTTGCTCTTACCAACCTACACCTTTCCAATACTATCTGGAATTAGGTAAGATGGGTACATTCCTCCAGGTAGTGTATGCTCCCATCCAGGCACAGAAATTTCTAAGTGCACGTGGCTTACAGTCTGATTTGGAAACTTTTCCAAGTGTGATGATGGATTTCTGCGTATCAGAATCCTGACCAAAACAATGCAGTCCTTGGTGTGTATAGTGGTGAGCTGCTGTGGTTGAAGCTCTGCAAATGAATAAAAGTGTATATCTAGATTGTAGGTAATAATCCTTGCATTTGATATAGCACCTTATCACATCTTCCAGACATCTCAAAGCGCATCATAGGATGGAACATGCAATGGAACAAGGAGTTGTTGAGGCAAATAGCATAGATGTATTTAAGGGAAAGCTAGATAGGTACATGAGGGAGAAGGTTATGCTTGAAGGCTTAGTTGAAGAAGGGCAGGAGGCTCATGTGGAGCATACAAACCGGCCCAGACCAGTTGGGCCAAATAGCCTGTTTCTGTGCTGCATATTCTAATGTATAGGATATGCTGTAGTGAATTGACTATTTTGTGTATGAAAGATAGAATAGTGGCAATACTTCCATGTTTTATGATGCTCAAGTTGTGATTCACAAGATACTCAGTGCCTGTTGTCAACATAAAGAGCTCAAAGCTATGCTTGTTAGACGTCTAATGACCAACTAGTGAATTCAGAGATTCACCAGCTACTCAACAGCTGGGCATACACAAGGCAGAACATGAAATGGAAGTAAGGTCATCCACTTAGCATAAAATTTGAAGCCAAAGTGTTGGGAGGCAAAACATTACCACACGTTAAAATCAGGAGTTTCAATGAGGTTTATTTTTGGTCAGACATCTCATTCAACTAATTTGGTTCTGCTGATTTAAGTTCTAGTCAAACAGGCCAAAGCCCATGTCATCATCTGATTCCTCAGATTCTTCTTTCTTCTCCTCCTTCTTCTCTTCTACCTTGGCTGCAGCTGGAGCAGCGTCAGCAACAGGTGCAGCAAAGGCAGATGGGTCAGCCAGGAAAGCCTTCACCTGAGAAAATCAAAGCAACAGTTCGAAAATCATCTTCCAACTATTTCAACTGCCACAACTCCAGTGGCGAAACACCTCAACATACCAGAGCAGTAAACCACAGGATCACATCTGACAATTCCCCAAAGGGCACATTGCCCACCTCATGCAAGACATCAGAGAAAGCAGGGAACAGGAGAACCCAAAAAGTAGAGTATGACCTATTCATCTCTCCAGTGGAAATCGAAAGGCCTTTGATGTTCAAGAGAATCATCCTCTTAGAACTACAGAGGAACAAAATGAGGAAGGAGGATGCAACCTGTGCCAAATAACAGCTTTTAAAATCATGTTCTGTGGAACTTATGATGCCCAATCTCTATTCGCCATTGAAAAAACACCCAGTATTTAATTGTGAATAGGATTAATTCATCTATATGTTCTTTTTTTAATATAAAACTAAAAGCTTAAAAAACACATTAAGCTACATACAGCATCTAGACAAACATTGGAAATAGATCACCAGAATTAACCCAACATTAATGAAAATTGACCCATGTAAAACCCCTTCAATGTTGCTGCCTATGCAGTTAAAAGGAAACAGCAACAGTCAGTTTGGTTTAGATACACTTAAGCGTGGTGATGGGTTCCCTCATGTCAGGACTGACCCCCAAACATTTCCATTATCATTCCATTTGATATGCAGCTTCTCATGTCTTTGAGATGGCTCAAAGCACTTCACAGAATATACTGTAAAGTGAATTGACTGTATATTTTGCGGGCAAAACACAGCAACCAATTGGGCACAGCAGTGTCCCACAAACAGTCATAAATTGAAATGACCAAATTATTTCTGGTCATAGGAGCTGAAGCTCACAACATCTTTTCAATTTGTAAAATATGTCACTTTTCTCCCCTCCCATTACCTTCTCAGCCAATGGGAACACGTAGTCTGTCTCTACAGCAACCGCCAGAACCCTCCTGTAACCATTGATGACAGAGTGTGGAATAGATGCAATCGTTGGGTAACCAATCTGCAGGCACACGCTGGCCACATTGCGGACTCCCTGTGAAAGCAATGGAAAATGGTGAACAAGTGGAACAAAAAAAATCCCCAACTGGACAAAAATGTCTTCCACTGACTGCATCACACCAACTTTCTAGCAAGAGTCACTGGAGATTGATTACCCACAGGCGACCAGCAGTAGCTATAAATACATTCGATATCCCAGGAAGAGCCAAAAAAATCACTCAGTCCAATCCGGTATCCTTAACTCACCTCTTTTTCTAGGTTTACAAAGCATCTAACTAGTTACCCACCACAGCACCCAATTCACATACCTCTAAGAAACGTTGTTGCAGAGCTTCTTCTGTGATGTCTAGAACCTCTGGGTTGTACACACTGCCATTATCATACACCTGCATGATCATCAGTCCATAGGAGAAGGGGGAGATGTTCAACATGTTCAGCAGTGTGGCTTCACTGGCGCCCACCTTGTCACCAACCTTAATGAGAGGCACGTCGCTCTATGGAACAAAGAGATTAAATTGATATGTTGCTAAAATTGCCACCGACACAGAGGATTAAAATCCTCCTGCCCTCCCCCCAAACTAACCATAAAATCTAGAAGAGAAAGGATAATTTAATATCATAAAAAGTGGAGCAAAAAATGTACAGCTCTTGGTACCTCACCTGTCAGGTTCCAGGTAAAATCAGATTAGGAAAACCAAAAGCTTTTAGAGTATACAACACAGATACAGGTTCATAACAAGCTTACAGTAAGCAGAATTGTGAAGCTCAAGTGATAAAGGAGACAGTGTGTCACTCAAGGGGACAGTGTGTCATTCTTAGTTAACTGTGTGTTAGCAATACTCACCAGAATTTCAATGGTACCTCTGGAGATCTTGGTGGTGATGCCCAGCGCCTGGAAGAAAGAGGTCTTCTCAGGTCCCAGCCCGGTGTTTTGAGCTGGCACAGTAACATCACAGGGAGCCAAGGCACCAGCCCGGGCACAAGCTGGTACCTGTGGAGGAAGTAAACACGAAAAATTCAACACAGTAGAAACAAAAGGATAAACATGCACAAAGCTGAATCAACAATAAACAGCAGAGAAGAATAATGGAACAGAAGAAGCCGTTATCTTTAATAGAAACTAATTTTCAAGTAGCAAAACCCATAAAAGCTTACACATTCACAAACATGTATCCAACAGCTCTGTTCCCTTGTGATAATGAGGCAAGGCCAGAATGCGAGAAACGTATTCAGTTGAAACAGCTAGTCTCAACACTGAAGCGATTAGAATACCAAACTCACCATCTATCAGAGCATCGGTAAAGAATTGTATATATAATAGTTATACCCCTGGGGATCCAGAACTCATACCTAATATATTTTGCACCCATGTGCTGGCCTTGAGAGCCACGGATAACAGCTTTGATTTGGTCCAGGCATTTATCACCATCGAAAAAAGCCAGCGCCAAAAAATGGCAGTAACAACTGGCATTGTAATTACAATTAGCCAGACATTCCGGCTCACCAGACCAGACATCCCCTCGCCCTAATTCTTCCAGCTAGCCTGGGTTTAAGTGTATTTTCTAAATAAAACGTCTCTCTCCAGTGATGGGTACTTCGGTACTATATTAAGAAACTCTTAAAATTCCTAATGTAACCTTTACCAGATGTACAGAATGGTGCCTCAGCCATAAGCGATAAAGAGATGGGGGTTACCTTGTTGGACAGCAGCATATCCCGGATTTCACACAGATCCTCCTTGGTGAATACAAAGCCCACATTACCACGGATATGAGGCAAGAGCCTGAAAAAAAACAGTAGATTAGTAGAACGCCAAAAACTGTGATATCAGAGCCCACTCCAAACGACTATTTACGGTTCACACTCAGCTGGCCAACACACATACTGGCTGGCACAAAGAAAATGTCTACAGTAGTTACATACTTCTCCAGAGCAGGATTGTTCTCTATGTGGCCTCGGATCGCCTTGCGCATCATGGTATTCTTGCCCATCAACACAACAGCTTTGCTACGCAGGGAGATACGGATATGCTGCATCTGCTTGGAGCCAACATTGTCTGCCCCCACGATGAAACATTTCGGAAACTCATCCAGTAATTGCTAGAGGCAATGGATCAAAAGTCAGTATTAATATTTATAATTTGCAAAATTCCAAACTTCTCCCATCGCTCCACATGCATGTATGCTACAGGTTTCAACAGGCTATCAAGTTCGACATCACATTTTTAGCTCTTGTTAAACTTGAAGACTGCCATATCGCCCATAAAATAAGCAGTCAATTCACTTTACAGTATATTCTGTGAAGCGCTTTGAGACGTCTCAAAGATGTGATAAGGCGATGGATGCTGCAAGGATTATAATTACTGAACAACAACAAATTACATTTGTAGAACGCCTTTCACGTCAGGAGGAAGTCCCAAAGCGCCGGACAATTAGAAATCTGCACCTGAGCGGGTGGTTGTGATCAAGAGGCGTGAAGGGTAGGGGTAGGAGGTTAACTGAAGGCACGGTCAAAAGGGACTTGAAGGAGGCAAGGCGGAGGGACTGTGTAACTTGCCCTCAGACACGCATTTCAGCACTTCTATTCAGTAATTGTTTGGATGATGTAGGCAACAGCATTGCTTTGTGTATTAGCTATTGTAGAAATGAGCTTCTGCCACGAGTTTCAATTTATGCAACACAAAAGAAAATATTGACCCCCCCCGCACAGTTTGCTCCAAAGAACGTCATCTCCCACTGGGTGAAGGTGAAATAGATTAAGCTTACGATAATTTTCAGAAAATAGTTGGACTTCCACGTTGCTCGGTCTTCCCTGGGCATCTTTGCAGTGCTTCCAAGGATTGCCACAAACTGGTTTAAAGACGAGATCTTACTGCAAGTCAATAAGAAAGAATACTATCAGACAACCACTGAACGTGGGCTACAACTACACCAGATAATAGTACCAACTGCACCCCTCCAACTAAAAGAAAAAACATTCCATGAAAAATACAGTCTCCTATTGGCTCCAGAAAGAACTCACGTGATTCTACAGCTTCCAGCCTGCTCTATAACCCTATAACTGTTATAACTCTACAACCCCTTGATTCATCACCAGTTGGTCAAACTGGCCACTTTGCCCCGCTCTCTGGAACTCTCTCCCTAAAATCCCTCTATCTTGCACTTGGTCTCTCCACTGTCAAACTTATTCTTTGTAACTGTAAAGCACCTCAATGTAATCATTCTTGCATATGATATAGCACCTTATCGCGTCGTCGAGACAGCAACAAGTGACATTTGTATACCGCACTTCGCATCAGGAGGACATCCCAAAGCGCTTCGTAGAATCCCTCGGAGTCAGGCTCCGCCTCCGTTAAGCGCTGAGATGCTACGCTGCATGGAGGGCACTGTATAAGTGCAAGTTGTTGTTGTATACGGTAAAGGTATTTGACTCTACATTTCGTGGGTGAAGATATGTTCGCATGAAACGAGCTGCACGAGTGCAAGTTAATTTTGCACGATCTTGTGTACCGCTGAGCTGACAACATCCGGTGATCCGTATATTAATGAACGAGCTTCGCTCCTTGGGTCTTTAGCAAGACCGCTAACTTCAACTACGGAGTCAGAGACAGTATCACAATCGGGCTGAACGGCTCCCGCCGTTGGGACTCGCGCACCCGAATCCGAACCAGGCGCGGCCGGCCGCAATCTCACCCGCAAAACCACGTGGCTTTCGCGAAGGGCTTCGAGGCGTGCGCTGCGCGACTGGTGCGATAGGACACGCAGACTATTGTTGTTATTATTCTGCTATCATCGCCCACCACAGCTGCTGACCCTTATATTCATGAGCGTGCTACACCCTGACCTGACCCGAGACCTGAAGCCCTGCGACTGACCGGTCAACACTTGAAGACGGACAACAGGTGAAAACCGCAGAGCTCAGCAACCGATGGTTGGGGAGAGAATCACTGCGACGCGACACCGCGCACGTGTGTGTGTGTGTGTGTGTGTGTGTGTGTGTGGTTGGGCCCCAATGCCCATGAGGTGCTGTGCGCTTATACATATATATAATATATTAATAAAAATATATTATATATTATTCTGAGGTCGGCAGTGACCACACCAGGAACCTTCCCTATTTTGGGCGCGCAAGTTGTCCTTTCCCCCCGAAAAGCACCGACTGATTCTCTCCCCCTCCCACCCCACACCGACACGGACCGGAAGCCAAGGCCTCAGATCAGGCCTGGCCCTCGCGCCCGCCCGCCCGCCCGCCCGCCCGAGCCGCGAGGCCCGGCCCGCCGGCCACGTGACAGCCGGGGGCCTGGGAGCTCGGGTGGCGGCCCCCGGGCGGGTCTCTCTGCCGCCCGGCTCAACGCCAACACCGGGGCCGGGTCTAGGCCCGGCTGGATATCGGGCGGGACGCGAGGCTACGCTCCGGGCTGTGTCGCTGGCCCAGGCCCAGGCCGCGGCTCCGCTCGCGCTCACCTCACACCGGAGCTTCGTGGAAGAAAGAGAACAGCGCCTCCTCGGCGGCTCCTGTTACGCCGCTCCGCCCGGGGGCGCTGGCCAATCACCAGGCACTACGTCACGGAACCCCGCCCTCCCCCTCGCCCAATCACAGACGCGTCCTGCTGCAGCAATCAACCAATCAGACTGCCGGAAACGTCTGGCCTCCCACCCGACCAATCAGACACCGGCATCTGCCGCTCCCTGACACAGGCCGACACGCAGCCAATCACAGGTCAGCCCTGGGAACGACGGCAGCGGCCAATCACCGCGCAGGGTTCCTCACCGCACTGGGGCATGAGGAGCAATGTGTGTTGAACGAAGGTTGGAGCCACTGCACAAGGCGGACGGTCGCCCACTCCTGGAGTACTGTGTGGTGCACAACAACAACAACAACAACTACTTGGGTGTATATAGCGCCCTCCACGCCGGACGGCGCCTCAGAGCCCTTTACAGTAACGGATCCCGGGGCCGAGCCAGGGCGGGGGCGGGGGGCGGGGGGCGGGGGGGTGGGGAAGGTCACCAAAACCAAAGACGCAGTCAAAAAGAAAGGTCTTCAGCAGAGACCTGAAAATAGGAGAGAAGGGAGTGAGGAAGGGAGTTCCAGAGCCTCGGGGCATAGTGGCTGAAGGCACGGCCGCCTTAATAAAATCAAATAAATAAAAATACACTCGTACCTTTTCTTTCACGTTGGGAGGATATCCCAATGACAGGTCAGCCCCCAATCGAGAGGTTGCACTGGATCCAGAATCGAGCGATAAGGCTGGCATATCGGTGTCTCCCGCTCTAAGTGCTCCGAAGCGCTACCCTGTATGAAGGGCGCCATATAAATGCAATTTGTTGTTGTTGTTTATCTGTTTATCCCTTTAAGGCACTTTGTTGCTCCTTTTGATTGCCCACAAATTGCACACAGTCATACCACTTTACAATATGTCCAGTGAAACGATTTGAAAAGTCTCAATGATGTGATAAGGCGCAAAATCAAATGCAAGGATTATTGTTGTCCTACACGCAGAAGATCTACAATCAAAAGAGGAAAGGCTCCCACACATCAGGAAGTAATTTCCCCATAGAGCACAGAATAACCAGTCCCTAAATACACTGATAGAGCAAGAAGGACAATATCCACCACTACATCTGGGAAACTGCACTTATTTACACTGCAGTCATTTACATTGCATTAAAGTGTGCACCCCTGCCCAGTCCAACAATGATTTAACCCTCACTTAATCCTACCTGTCCCAGGTAACCAAAGGTTTGGTCCTACCTAAAAGGATCAAAGCGTCATACAATACATGGTCTCGCAGCACCCCCCACCCCCCCCTCCATCCCAAATCCTTTGACCATAGATCTGCCCCTGGGTGAGTCGAAAGGATAGAGTTCCAGAAATTGGGGGCAGATACACTGAAAGCCCAAATGCTGATGGTGGGGAGGGGCCATGAAGCAAGCCAGTGGGTGAGTGGAGAGAGCAGCCAAGTTTGAGGAGGTCAGGATGAAGACCTTGAACTCTACTCGCTGGGAGTTTGGAAGTCAGTGGAGCTTGGCAACAATGGTGGTGATTGGCTCGCAGAGCCTAGTGTGGAATGTGAAAAGGTTTAGAGACAACAACAATTTGTATTTACATAGCCTGTGCCATCTTGTGCAGGTTCCGAATATTATCAGTAGCACTGTCCATTGACAACATGTCCAGGCCAACATATCACTCAGATAGATAGCGTGAATAATAATAAATAATAATCCTAGCATTTGATATAGCACCTTATCATGTCTTCAAGGCAAATGCCTTGAAGACATGATAAGGTGCCCACAAAAATATACAGTTAATTCACTTCACAGAATATACTATAAAGTGAATTAACTGTATATTTTTGTGGGCAAAACGTGTCAGCAGCACCCAGCAGTGCCCTGAAATCAGTCATGGATTGAAATGACCAATTTATTATTATTATTTTTTGGAAGGAATTATTACCTTTCTTGAAACCAAAGAATGAAGCTAATGTTTATCGTGAACTATCATGTATAATTTAGAATGCAAATAAAGCAATGAATGTCGTTCTCTGTTTGGCTCTTATTACATATCTCCAAGCAAAATGAAGCTTAAAGGAAGTGTTCCTGTAAAAAAGTGTTTTCTCAAAATAAAAATGAATAAAAAATAATAATCCTTGCATTTAGTATAGCCCCTTTCACATTAGGACATCTTAAAGCGCTTCACAGAATTTACTGTGAAGTGGAGTGATTGTGTATTTATAGGCGAACACAGCAGCCCACTTGCGCACACCCTCAAACAGTCATAATTTGGAGGATTGTTGACCAAGCACCAGGAGAAACTCCCTTCTCTTTTTGAGTAAATAATACAAGAAAGCGTGAAAATCAGAAACTCTTGATCCATTAAACTCATCGACCGTGAACTTCACTCCACTATTACCCCAGGTGGTTTATTTTTCTGTACAATAAGGTTGTCCTACTAAATCGACAAGCTGTTTAACACCCAACATTTGAGGACATCTAACCTGCTCCTCTTATAAATTTTCGATTCATTTTTTCCTGAACATTTTGCTTAGTTATACAATAAAAACATCTTGAAAATGTTGTGCTTTCTTCTTTCAATAGATGTCCTTATGTTTGATTTTGACTTAATAAAAACGATAATATGGGAATGAGGATCATTCAACCAACTTCTTTCAAGAGTCTTCCCAGCTTGCCTTGTGGAGGATTCTCCAGTTTAGTTATTCCTCTGAGGAAAGTGAATGACCATAAATAAACGCTAACATTTCTCTTCAACTGCATAATACTCAGGGGATTCAGTGAAACACCAGAGTAGCAATCCAATGTTAATATCTGCACTATTCAACTCTTCTTCTTGTGGTTCACAAATGACATTCCCAGGAGTACCAGTGGGCTCAGTCAGTATTAAGTGGTGTATTCATTCAGCTATCTCTATGTATACATGTACCTATCAATCACGTTCTTTAACAAATACCTATTCCACTCCATTTTAAAGTTGATCAATACAGCATTAACCACTTATGATAGGGTCTATTCCAGATTTACTGTGTTGAGAGAAACAAAATCCTTTAATCTACTCTCACTTGGTTTGCCAATTTCATACAAGTGTCCTCTACTTCTGTGGTCAGCATTGAAATCAATTTAAATGAAACCTCCACATTATCCCAGTGGTTCAACAATTTAATGACACGAATCATGTCTCCTGTCTCGCAGTGTTCATCCAGTCAATCTTGTAGAAGATTGGGCTACCCACCAGTCGGTTTGATGTTGTAGTGCGTAAATATCTTCACCAACTCAGCTGGTCTGCATCCCTTGGGGTTTGTACTCACGTCTGAATCAGCAGTTGAATTTTCTCTGCAACTTGACAGAGCTGTAATACAGCAGAATGTTCCATCACTCAAAAAAATCAGTCATTTTGCTACTTTTTCTTGCAAATAAAATGCAGTTAGAAAGCTGGGAAATTGGATGGCATAGTGAGCCACCAGTATTCCATTTTCTCTGATAAATGCAATCAAATTCCACCCCAATTATTAATAAGCTTTGCATTGGTTAAAGTACTATTAAGCCAGGAGGACGTTTCAAAGCATCTCACAAGATGTATTGTAAAGTGCAACAATTGTGGATTATATTGGACCCGATTTAACATCTCATTTGAAGGACAGCACTTCTGACAATGCAACATTCCCCCAGCACTGCTTTTGGAGTGTCAGATTAGTTTATGAGTTCCAAATCCCGATAAGGAGCTTAAACCCACAAATTTCTGACTAAGAGCCGAGAGTATTAGTTCAAATAGCTTCTGGTGAATGCCCATGATTAAGCATGAACAAGCAATTACATATCAAAGAATGTCTGATGTGCTACCTCACTCAAGGACCTGGATGAAATACAAAGAGTACGACTGGTACAGGGCATTGAGCTCAGACTTCTAGAAAATCTAGGCAGCTGGCATATCACAAGTTATCCTGTAAAGTTCCTCTCATCACACCAAAGGCAGATGTCCATCGCTTTGCTGATGAGAAAACTGAGGCATGGAACAACAGCTGCCGTAAGGCATCACCTGGAGTTTGGAATTGTGAGCACACTCATATATGCAGTAGTATGATTGATTGGTATGCAGAGGCAAGCAGTTGCTGTTCAAGCTTCACAGTTCCAACTCTTGGAACCATCAATAGCAGGCTCGCACATTTCATGCCAAATGGTTCTGCTCAACAGGAAGCTTACGAGGAGTTCTTGATATCCATTAACTGCAGCGAGGGCCCAATTAACCTGCAAGTTAAAGCCTTAACAGGTAAGCTGGTCCGAGTTGGACAAGCATTAAGAAGCTGCCAGGCAGTGTTGCCCGTGGTAAATTTGCGATTTTAGCTGGTTGAACTCCAGCTGTACCCCAACCCACGTTCTGGGGTCCCCAAGGCTCGACTCTCACCAACCCGTACCTACTACTCTTCATAAATATGTAAGCAGGGTGCATCCCATGTGAGAAAGAGAGCGCATTCCGTTCCAGATATAAAATAATTTTCAGGTGCAGATGGTTTACGTATGTGAAACTGTCTGGTTTGGATGCTGAAGCTGGTGATGTGTTTCTGCATGTGTCAACACCCGGCTGACCAAAAACAACGGTGACATAGGAAATGGAAATACAGAAAAGGTGCTTTTGTCAGGTTTGACTTAATATTGTTGTGCAGCCTCCTATTAAATGTTTTGGAAGAGGTAACTATTACAAAGTGAAAAGACATAAAGTGAAAGTAACTTTTATTGGCATAATTCCATGATATATGTGTAAAGCAATAATTAAAAGATGAACAAAAATGTCGATAAAACAAAGGCAATTGCTATTGATCAGGAGTCTGCAGAATCAGGACTAACTCCTTACAACAGTCTCTCATTCTTGAACGACTCCCTTTGGTTAAATGGCAGATTGAATTTCATACATTGTAAACACTGGTTAGTGAGGCTTCGATCCAATAAATTCAAACCAGTTAAAATGGCACCAGAATACTTCTGGCCTTCTGCTTTGTGACCATTTTTTTTAAAAAAAGGTTAATTATTCATGGTGAAATCAAAAATATTAGTACATACATAAGGGAGAGTCGTGTAGGGGTTTCACAGCAGGAATTAAGACTTCGTAAAAAGATAAATTATTGGCAAATTAGAATGGAGGATTTGAATAAAAATACAACAGGCTCACAATTACAAAATAGTTTGTTGACTGATGTTATTTTAGGACATGCCTGAAAGACTAACATTTTTGTGCTATAAAAGTGAAGAGGCATGTCCTGCTCAACAGTCCTTTGGATTTTTCAGGTAAGAATCAGTCATTATTAGAAAGCATTGAGACTACCTATATCATAATAGACTTGCGTTAAAACTACAAACTGGATGCATGTTTTACAAAAGTGGTTATGTTTTTAAAATCCAAAGTTCTGGCATGAAAGGTCAGAATTAACAGAGTTCTTAGTGATCAATGACACTGATAATTAAACCCGGAGGATAAAAACATACAGTGCTGCAAAAGATTCTGTATTTAGTACTGCAAAAGTTTCTATCAAATATGTCTACAGCAGGTGTCTCGGAGAAAGCTCCGACACACTACATTAGGACAGTGCGATTGTGGCTGTCGCTGAGAAATATTATTGCTTCAGTTACAGTCAAAGGCATTATTAATGTCAGAGACATTGCTGTACATCTTAAAGTGAACATTTTTCAGAATAAAATACTGCTTTCCAGCACAATCATCTCACACATTTCAAATGGATCCTTTTTAGGGGCTCGCTAACCCGTGGCCTCGTAACAGTTTTACATTGTTCCTTCAAGGGATTGTTCATTGCAGATTCTTTGCTCTCCTTAGGGATATTTTTTACAATGACATTCCTCACTGTTCAGTTTACCTTTAACACTGAAAAACACTTAGCTTGACACTTACGCACAGGTGCAGAGAGATATGGAGCTCACTCCAGGACAGTAGGGAGGTAAAAATAATTTGTGATTTCTGAAAAGGACCTGGTAAATGGGGTGAATGGTCTTCTCTCAATTCAACCTCCCGTGCACTGCTGCTGAATATCGATTTGAGTCCTAGAGTCTGCTGGTAATATCACAAAAGGCATTGGTTTGGAGCGTTGCAAAATATGACATTTGCTCTCCATCTCTTCCAAGGTGTGAGGGAACAACTAACTGCATACAGAGCTACTTTGAATTTGTAGCTAAGAAGGATTGAAAGGGAATATACATAGCTAGGACAGGTGTGAGTGTGGAGCCATCCTCTGACTTAGCATCCTTCTGTATAACCAAAGTATATTAGGAACCTGACACCTTCTATATGTGACACTATTGTCATTTTGAGATCAAACCAGGTGGGTTTCAGACATGTAAAACTGAAACTATAAAACTGAATAGTCTATGGCCATAGTTTTAAATCAAGCAGTCAGTCATTGAGTTCAATATGTGGGTTACAGACAAGCAAGCTAAGAGCAGCAGGGTAACCAAATAACCTCAAAAGACCTACTTTTTTCTCATATTTGTAAAATGACATGGTTTAGCGCCAACTTTTGTCCCACATTATAAAGGAGCTCCTATCATTTGCAACGCTCTCCTCTCTTTGGAACGGATCTCATACAAGATGCTCATCAAAGAAAGCTCGGAGCTCTTGAAATCAAACAGATTTTCCTCACAGTTGAATTTCATTTCACATCCTTCACCATTCCCAAAACAAGAGTCTCCTTTTCAATGGACATGTCTGAAGACAATCAGCATACTATAGGAATGCAAGTTGTATACCTGGCCTTCCTGGGGTACTCAGAGAAAGGGAAAGCTATAGCTTTCTGTAATACTCGTAAAATGACATTTGAGGAGCTTCTCTTCTTCTCAGTCTCTATAATGGAAAAGTAATCTATTTTATTTTATTACAAGAACCATATTACTCTTTAAAAACCTGGAGTCTTCTGTTTTGTTGGTACTGAATGCATAGGTGTGGATTTATGGGATTGCAGGAATGGTTAAACTGGTAAAGTGTTTGGTGGGATGGGTTTAACAGAAGAGCTTAACAAAGCAATTGTGACAGTAGGGCTTATCATTTTGCTCCTTGAAGGTGCCCTTATTGAGCTGTTTCAGGCAGAAAGCGCAGACAAAGTGCTCTGGGTGAAATTTCTTCCCCATGGCAGTGATACAGCGACCTGTGATGGGCTTCTGGCATCCAGAGCAGAGCGAGTTACGACGCTCGTGGTAATGCATCTCACAATATGGCTGTCCATCATGTTCGAAAAAGCTGCCATTTACAAACGGGGTGAAGCATTCCTGTAAAGAAACAAAAAATTCTCATTTCGCAAAGAGCACATTTGTAATAGGGCTGTTACTAATACACCAATACTGCACACTGTCTGTGCCAGTGTAGTTAGGTACTGGAAAATTTATGTGAACCCAGTCTTTTGTGTCATTAAAATAAAAAGAATATACCATCCAACCCAAAATGTTATTAAAAATTTATCAACAGGTTTAGGCTTTGACATCCAAATTGTTGAATCAAGGAGTTTGAGTTCAACATAATTTTAAATATGAAAAATATTAGGAGAGAGAGTGGAGCTGGGATAAATTATACATTTACAAGCAGCAATCTACAACATCTTTGAATATCTCTACCAAGTGAAACAATTGAGAAAATGCTTCTGCTTTTCTAATGACTGTTTAGCAGCTGTTGCAGACATAGCATTTGACAAATATTTATATCTATTCACAGCTTGCCAATCACAAATGCTGACCCATAAAGTGCCTGGGGGCCATGAGTCACATTTATCACCACAGGGATCATTAGCGACCTCTCCCTTACCCGGCATACAAAGCACTCTGGGTGCCACAATGAACTGAGGGCCGAGATGTAATTTTCCAGAATGGCTCTTGCACAGCCACCACACTTGGGTGCAAACATATCAAAGTAATCTTTGCGACAATATGCCTTCCCATCTTTCTCATGGAATCCTGAAAACAAGGAGAGGAGACATGATTGCAGTAGGATTTATGATAAACCCAGCCTTTCTGCTGTTCAAACTACAGTCAAACCTGAGCACTCAAAAGAACTGGGCCAAAGTGACCTTTATATAAGGGTGTCTGTCCTCAGAGTAAGAGTTTGTTGGTGTGTTTTCTATCTGTGTCTGGGCTGTGGAGGTGGTTGCTTGAACAGGTTTGACTGTACTCCTACTGAAGAATAGCACACCTGCCAGATTCATCCACGAGAAGGAAGCTATTAGATGACAGGACTCTCTTGTTGAAATGTCTAAAAGCTATCACAAAGGAAAAAGGGTCTCTCAAACTCAATATCAAACAGAAAGCACTAGTAATGTGAATTTAGTGCAGTCACAGAATGATATTGTCAAACAGCAAAATGAGTTACAATTTAATGCACAAAACAGTGACAATCACTCCTTCCATAGATAATGCCCTACTGCTTCCCAGAGAAGTTCAGTGGAAGTGCTGGCAATATAAGTAATTATGTATTTACTGGCCTCTCCTTTATACCCTTTTCCTGTTCTGTGAGGCAAAACTGATTTTGCCTGTTCAGGCTTACATCAGCACAGAGAATAGTCAGTGCTGGAAGGACAATTGACTAGAGGTGAGTATTTTACTTTCACGGAAAGAGCCTGCATTTTCTGCTGCTGTCGCTAATCAAGTAATTTGAAATCACAAAAATACACAACTTAAGATAGAAACAAGACAGAGCTTATACCATCCGGTCCAAAGAAGGCTCCGCACTGGGCACAGAAGAAATGTTCAGGATGCCAAGTCCGATCCAGTGCCGTCACCACTTTCTAGAAGACAGAAAAGCCAAGAGAAGGCATCAGTGCAGCAGAACACAGCTTCATCACACTTTGCCCCTGCTCCACACCAAGGCACTCAGTGTCAGAGCCACATGGCACTCTACACTAATTATGTTGATAAAACAAAATAAAAATATTCGATTCCTGAAGGAATACAAAACCCAAAGGGATGCTATTCGCGAAATACAGCACTGACTGTTACAATGTCTATACGTACCTATATTTGTGACTGGTAAGGTTACACTACCCAGGTAACAAGTCTGTACTACTGAGCTCCTGGTAGAATGATGCATTTCATTTTAAACAAAGCAGCAGTCTGACATACTCACATCCAGAATGGGTCCATTGCAGTAGTTACAGCGGGGAGAAAATAGGTTATGATAGTCTTTCTCACAGTATGGCTGCCCATCACGCTCAAAGAAATTACGAGATCCAATCTCTTCTTGGCAATGGGTACAAACAAAGTGCTCTGGATGCCAGGGACGTCCCATTGCAGTCACAACCTAACAAAAAATAAAACTTTGTAATTGTGGAACACGACAGAGAAATCTGCTCACGCAGAGCTACTACTACGTATCCGATAATATTGTAACATATGGGGTAAAATTCTACCCGAGTAGAGATTTACACTTTAATGTAACATTTCAGTGTACAGAATTGATCAAATTGTCAATTCAGTTTTAACTTCTGAAGCCCGTTTTCTGTGGTTTTTAGAAGAACTTACCTAAACCAGCTTCAGAATTCAAGAATTTGGCAAATTCTGAATGCTCTGAAATGTTATGTTTACAAAGTGGATCTATACTCGGGTGGAATTTCTACCCAATAGTTTGTTAACCAGGGTTATAAAGGACCAGGTGCAGCCAGTTCCTGTCCAGGCAAATGAAATGAAATCTATCAATATGGATCATTGCACCAAGAATGAGGTGATAATGAATGACTGACTCACTGCCTTCAAATACACTTCTTTTAGGGTTTTGCTGACAGGATCTGCTGTGTGTGCCTGAATTGTATGGTACAAAAGATTTTCATGGCCATTGCCCCTTTTCTCAAAGTATCCAACCCCATGGAATGGGTATATCTCCCAAACATCATTATTTTACGTAATGCTGAACAGTTTGCAGTTAACAGCATTGGATTAGATGGAGACGCATTTTTTATTGATCTTTGCAAAAAGCAAAGATGCTTCTAGTCCTGAACAATTTCTTCTTACCTGTCCAGCTATAGGTTTCTTACAGGCAGCGCACACTCCCTTCGCTACGGTAGCAACCCCCAGCTTGTTCAGTCCTACATGCAGTTCATCCAGCATGTTATCCAGCTGGCTCCCAGGTTTCTGAGGAACTGCCACGGGTGAAGCTCCACTCTGCTTTCCTTTAGAGCCCGATTGTGCCATCTGTGAAGAAAACACATCGGTATTATGCTAAAGCCAAAATTTCTCCAGAAAAGAGCGCTTCATTGCTACAGGGTGATACAACAGATAAATGTTAACCTTGTGTCTTTTCTCAGGGCTGTCTATTGGTTCATTGATACATTTAAAATGGAAGTTTTAAAAGTTTACTGCTTACTTCAAGGTGCGATCAGCATTAAGCATTGATAGACCTTAAATTGAACATACAGTATAGATATCAGAAGATGACAACAGTTAGACCCAACTTGACCAGCACCCAGTAAAATTGCCCTATTCGGGCATTCATTTTAGAGCAAGCACTTTAATGGAAAACCCACTTCTCATATGACAAGTATAGAAGAAAATACACTTCTAGGTACACTCAGATCTGTAATATTTTTCAAGAGCAGGAAATGTGCAAAAAAAAAGTACATTTGAATAGTTAGTATTTGTAATATGTGTCTACACAACTTGTAATTATAGTGCCCTTCACGTCGGATACCATTCGGAGTGCTGTGTTTGAAGAATGCCTCCGGTTCACTGATTGACAGGAACTATGCAGGTCCTGCAGAGAAATTTGGGTGATCTTCAAAGTAGTGCAAGGATTCAAAAAATAAATTGTATCCCAACCAAACCTTCTGAGATTACCAAGGAAGTCGACCGCCTGAAGAACTAGAATAACTAACATACTGTTCAATCCATGTATGGGTTTTGGATATCAAGCTTAGGTTAACTCCTATCATTGGGCAACACCAGGCAATGAATATGACTAGAGAGTGCCAAGTTAGTAAATCACAGTGATCTTAAAGACTCATCAGCACAATAAGCTCTCCTTCTGGTCCACAATAATGAATCTTTTTACTCGTCTCACAGCAGCACATTGCTGTAATCGAACTAAAGCAATTGTTCTCTAGCAGAACAAAGCAAAATGTCGAACTTAGCAGAGTTATACACACGTTTGCATTTGCTTTTTGTTGCTGTCCACGCACAGGAGTGGGGGATTGGTGCGGCAGTGGAGGAAGGGCAAATGGATCTACCAGTCTACGATGATCGTCTTTTTGGAATAGGTTACCTGGCACAGGAGCAGTGTGGCCTGGATTGATGGGCTAGATAGGGACGCAGACAGGAGACAGAAGAGTAATGCAATAGAATAAGTTTAAGAAAAAAAAAGGAAAGATAATGTGAACACAACAAAACAACGAAAAGACCAAAAGAATATTCGCAACAAAAGGAAAGTACAGGGCAGAATATTTTAGGTGACTCTAGATTTAAAATTAGAGCTTTGTAATTAATGGAAGCAATGAGATGAGTATTTCAGCAACAAGTATAGAATATAGCATGCTGAGAATGAAAAGAATGTCCTGCCTGCTCAATGGCTGGGGGAGGAGTGAGACGCAGAAATTCAAACTTTGTATTCACCTAAAACAGAGTGAAAAGTTGCAATAAGCTGGTGACTGTCAAAGTTTCTGACGTCCATTTGTAGGGCAAACACAGCAGTCAATTGTGTGCACAGGAATGTCCTACAAACAGCTTACTGTAATCCTCATATACAATAAGTTAAGAATTTTTAAAAATCTTAAACATGGCAACAAATCTTAATTCACTGCATAATTTCGGAAAAAATAACTCTTCATTGAGCACTGACTTTTTATTTTAATTGTCTAAGACAGAATACTCCACAGGAGTTATGTCGGTAACGTTACAAATGAACATCTTAACAATTATATTCTACTCAAGTAGTATTGATTTGCATATAATTCATAGAATTGTGTGAGTGTGTGTGGGGTTATTACCATCAGTTCAAATAAATTACCACTGTGTGTTCAAACTGGACTTGTACCAAAGTGTGTACTAATACTCAACAGTTCTTTGGCTATGCCATTTACAGGTTAGACAATTTACACACCATTAATGTACTACAGTCAACGTTTGGTGATTTGTACCTTGATACAACACCAAATTACTGTATCATGTCTCTTGCTTCATAACAGTAATCATTCTCGCATTTGATATAGCACTGGATTTGATACAGCACCTATTTCGTCCACAAAATATACACTCAATTCACTTGACATTGATAAGGCGCTATATCAAATGCAAGGATTATTATCATTATAGACAGCGTTGCTCACTCTGGGCTCCTTAAGGATTATTATTATTATATTATTGAGAGTGGTATCAAAGTACTTCACAAAGTTTCTGACAGTCTATTTGTAGGGCAAATACAGCAGTCAATTTTGTGCACAGCAATGTCCTACAAATAGCTTACTGTGATCCTCATAAAAAAAGTTAAAGAGTTTTTTTTAAGATGGTACATTTCCTAATTATAGTGCCTCTCCTCTCAGGAACACACTATTCTCATCTTGGCACTATATGGAACATTGTGCAACAACAGAAAGCTTTCTCTCAACAGTGGAAAACTTCAATTAAGCCATTAGATATTAGCCTACTTTCGGAGATTGAGGACAACACTTAAAAGCAGCCATTCTAGCCATTGCAAATAGGATTTTAAATCCTTTTTCCACCAGCCTTTATCATAGCAACCAAAAGGTAAGTAGTGAATCAGAAAAAAGTTATGAGGGAACTGGATCTTCTCATAGGCCTTACCTCTCTGATCACCCCTTGCTGCCATTGTTGGATCTCAACATAATAACAACAATAATTATTGCATTTGATATTGCGTCTTATCACATCTTCAGGACATCAAATTGCTTCACAAAATCTACTGTAAAGTGGATTGTATATTTTGTAGGTAAATAAGATGATAGAAAAAAATTGCTTTTAAAATGTATGACCTGCATGCTGATTGTTCCTTTGTTGTGTTTCTAAAACTATTTTTTGTGAGTTTTCAAAGGAAGAAAAGCAACAATTATCCTTGAATTTGATTTTGCGCCTTATCACATCAAGATGTCTCCAAGGTCTTCAGTTTTTTTACTGTCAATTGTAGTGGCATTTGTAGGCAATAGTGGCAACCAATATGCGCACTGCAATGTCAAACCTTGGGAATCAAAGTTCTTTCCACTTTTGGCACATAGCATCAGCATGAAGTACCTTCAGCAAATTAATCAACATAGCTAGATGGAGAGTATACTAATCCTCCCGTACAACAAAATATATTTACCTCAAACTCATATTACCCCCAACTGCCCAGTGATAAACTACAATTTTTCACAACAGAGTCATTCAGATGGCTTGTCAACCAGATTGCTAGTTTGTGGATTCAGCTCCACAAGGAACCACTACCCAAACAGATTTCACATAGGACACCAAAGATAGTCTTCAGGAGGAAAAGAAAACATTGGTAACATAGAACTATCTTAAAGGGTTACCTGATGTTTAATGTATGACTTAGAATAGAAAACCTACTCTGGATACATGAAACACAAACTTTAAAAAAAATCAGACACATTTTAGTTTGTTCTTTCACAGATTAACATATTGAAGGGTAATAACCTCTGAAGATATTCAATTTAATTCCATCGCTGGTAGAGGTGTGGTTTGAAAACAGAACCACTAAAATCTTTTAACAGCATAAGGAGCCTCCCTTTTCACTAATGATACCTCAGTAGACTTTGGTGATAATAATAATCCTTGTATTTCGTATAATGCCTTATCATGTCTTTGAGATGTCTCAAAGAGCTTCACGGAATATACTGTGAAGTGAATAGACTTGGAAGACTTTAATTGGAAGAAAAAATTAATATCGTCATCTTTGGTATAGTTGGCAACTGCTCCTCATTCTTACTCCACAAACAAACTACAATGACTTATACAATACACTGTTACATTTGTATAGCGCCTTTCACATCAGGAGGATGTCTCAAGGCACTGGACATCAGGGATTTTGACCTGAGCTGGAGGTCGGAATCGGAGAGGGTGGAGGGCAAGATGGGTAGCCAAAGGCTCGGTGGAAAAGGGTTTTGAGACGCGCCTTGAAGAAGGCAAGAGAGAGAGCGAGGCGAAGGGAATGTGGGATGAAGTTCCATAGAGTGGGGGCAGAGAAGCTGAAGGCCCGGCCGCTGATAGTGGGGTAGGCCGGGCGGATGACGTTGAGCAGGTCGGAGACTGCTGAGTGGAGGGAGTGGGCAGGTTGATACGTGGTTAGCAGGTCACAGAGGTAGAAGCAAGGACCTGGAGGGCTTGAAGGCGAGGAAGAGGATTTTGAACTGTCTCCTGTGGGGTATGGGGAGCCAGTGGAGTCAGGCAAGGATGGGGGTGATGGGGTCATGGAGCCTGGTGCGGGACAGGACATGAGCTGCAGAGTTCTGGATGATCTGCAGCTTGTGGAGAGAATAGATAGGAATGCCAACAAGCAGAGTTGGGAAGGCCGACAAGCTGGCATAGTCGAGCCAAGATGAACCCTCATCCAAGTGATGAATAGAGTTTATCCCAAAGGATCTGATCTTTGTAAGGAATACATCATTGAGATGCACAATCCTATTATTTTAACTTCCAAGGTCACTGTAAGTTACCTGGCTTTTACAACTGAAAATAGACTAATATTATAACTAAGCTGCTTAATTTCATACCAAAAAGTGAAATTGTGTAAAACTCCACTGAAATGTAGGCTACAATTATTGTTACCAGACAGAATCATGCTGAAGAGACTTCAGAAGTTGTACATTGCCCTTTGTAATTGAAAAGGCTAAAATTAATCTGTAACCATAGAAACAAAATACTCCATGCCTGAGGTGGAAACAGAGGTGAGCCTTCATCGCTGCTGTAGTCATCAGTCTGACAGGCTATTGACACCATGACTTTTGGTGGTGGGGATAGGGATCGGAGATGTTCAGTTGGGGCAATAATGGTCTGTGCAAGGACAGGGAAGGGTAACAAAGAGGCTGCTCTGGCGGAGGGGTGTAGAATATTGGGGTTAAAGACGTGGGTGGTGTTGTTGGAAGGAGAGAGAATTCTTGATATTCATCAGATGATGCATCCCAGCAAGGCCCAGGGTTGAATTCTGGGAAGGTGAGAGGGAAAGCAAGTGGAGGAGGTGGAGTTAGGGTTGGCAAACAGGGAAGTGGTGGGCTAGGTAAACGTGGAGGAGGGATGGGTAAACGGAGAGCAGGAGGTGGAGGAGGAGGGGTAAGTAAACGAAGAGGAGGAGTAGGTAAACGAGGGGGATGGGTTAATGCAAATGGTGGGGTTGAAACATTCTGAAGTCTTTTCTTATGATCTTGACGTGGTTTGATTGGGGGAGAAGGAGGAATTGATGGAGATGTTGGTGAAGCGGGAATAGATGGGGATGGTGGCCTGGAACGCTTTGGAGAAGAGTGTTCTCGAGTAATTATTATCTGGAGAAAAACACATCGTAGCTTTAATATTAACTTTAACAATACTGAAGGCTGTTTTCATTCCTTTGCACTAAAGAAAATGCCCCAGTCAAAATGCAGGACATGCTTCAAGCTGCTATTTGTCACACAACTGGGTTTCTAAGAATGATTAGTGGATTGCACAAAACTCAAGAGGAACAGCCTGACCCACAATTCAACAAACCTCCTCTGTCAACAATTACATTAGTGTGAGAGGAGCTACACAGCGATTTTAAATACCTAGCAAATTGTCGTCTCGCCGATCACAAACTGGTTAGTTTTAATCCTGAAACCCAACGACAAAAGTCTGAGATGTCATGCAATTGTCTGGCAGTATTCAATTTTGCCTCAAATAACAGTTATTGAAAACTGAACAGATCCAACAAATGCAACTCTTTAATCACTTCTACACCTGGAGCGTATCTCCTGCAAACTGCCACACTGACAGTCGTGCTAAAATCTCAGATTAAAAACAGAAGCAAGACACATAACTAACCAGGCTCTCTTGTCATAGACTCAACAGGCTTGATGATATGTAAAATAAACAGAGCACTCAAATATAATAATCCTTACATGTGATGTAGAGCCTTTAACATTAAAATGTTTCAATGTGCTTCACAGGGAATTGTCAAGTATCTATGTTTGGAGGCAAGCGGGACAGGCAACTTGCTCACAGTAATATCTCGCAAATGGGGCATGGAGTAAATGACCAATTTATTTGAAGGATTTCTGGGCAGGCCAGCAGGTGAAGCTCCCTTCTCTTTTCAACTAGTGCCATGGGATCCGTAATACCACCTAAAATTACAAATACAATCTTGGTTTAACATCTGGCCCACAAAATACACAGTGAATCCACTTTACAGTATATTCTGTGAAGCATTTTGAGACGTCTCAACAACGTGATAAGGCGCTATATCAAATGCAAGGATTATTATTATTATGTATCTCAGCTGAAGGCAAAAATGCAGTGTTGCTCCACTGGATTATAAATCCAGATTGAGAACTGAAAATCCCATAATGGGCCTGAACCCATAATCTTCTGACCCAAAAGCAAGAGTGCTACCAAATGAGCTACCAGATGGATCTTAGAATAGAGGTTGATCAGTTTTCAATACAGTAATTCAGTGCAAGAAGAGCCCTGCACATAGAGAAACAAGAAAGTTAAAGTACCACCGCACGAGAAACTATCACGGGTATTTCAAGCCGCAGCAAGCATCTGTTAATCTTTAATCATTGTCATCTCCAAATGCTTTATTTGTATACCTTGGGCACCAATACCTAGTTTAATTCTGACCACATGCCTAAACTGGACAAGGCACACTACAGGAACAAATTCCTAATCTGCCCAGGCAGACAACACCACTCTGACACCACTCTGCAACCACACCAACCAACCACACAGTGAATAATTAAACTTGCAACACATCTCCAATAGTCCAACATTGGGAGGCTGGAACTTCAATTTCAATGTCTTGGATCCACAGCAAATTGTTAAGCAGCACATGCAGATGGAATTAAGATCAAGGTTTCTTGTGCACTACACTTTACTCCATGCATTCCTTGGGTCACAATTTCTCATGCTTTCTTCTCACTACCTTCTCAACCTTCTGAGTTCCGTCCTCGCGTTTCCTGACGGGATTCACAGTGATGACCACTCCCTCTGTGAGCCAGTCATCCTCTTCCCTTTTCTTGAGTTCCTTCTTCTCAATCCCCAGTTTGTCATGAAGCTCCTCAATAAGCCTGTCCTGAGACACACTTTTATTAAATATGACGGGGCCATATTTGCGCCGTGCTGACTCCTCCCGGTACATGGGGTGTACATTTGAAGAATCCCTGGTCCTCTTAATAACACATTTCATCTGTGCCACAGGGAACATTTCACAGTAAAACTACAATCTTGCGGGCCAATATGAAGAAATAGACACACTCAGCAAACACAGCAATGCCACAAATGCACAGCCCATGTGCAGCCTTGACACTAAATTGCCCGTCAAGTGGACGCCTTACACGAACACAACCATCAAGGATCTAAATTGCTTTCTGGCAAATTAGACAAATTGCACACAAAACAGCCAACATGTAGCATTACCTCAGTAAAAATTACCCTTCTGTCATTAAGTGGTGGATATGTTAATACATACATGTAATGCATGTACTGTGTTATTCACACACACACTCAGAGCTCTCCCACTATCCACCTCCCGTGATGCATTTAGAAAGAATTGAAATTAAAGTTCACTTTGTTAAATACCACAGCGAGCTCCACTTTGACTACACCATTATAAGAGTCAGTGCTTGCTGAAAACCAGCCTCTGTTATTTGAATTCTGCAACAGCGCAACAAGCTTGGTGTCCAGTGCTACTCTGCCATGCAATATCAAGGGCCTCATGCCATGGATCTCTGGAAAACATTCCACACTAAAAGCTTTCTGCCTGCCTGGCGAGAGGCAGAAATCCGTTCCACCACAGGTGTCTGAACTGGAGGCAAATCAAACTTCTCTCCTTGGACCTTCTCATGTAGTTCTGGATGTGGAGAACAGTTCTTCACTTCACCCTGTGATACACCCATTTGCTTTCCCAGTTCCTGCTGCTCCTGTGTTGCCTGCTGTTCGGATAGTTTTGACATCCTTCTTTCACTGGGTAGATTTGCTGAGACCTCAGCTCCAGACAGGGCCTCCTTTGCCAGGCTCTCTTGATTCTGCGAGTTCCCTCTCAATTCCTGATTTGAAAGTGGAAGCTCTCTAGTATCGGAGCATAAAATCTGCCTCTCCATTGCCACCACTTCTTCTTCCCACACTTCCCGTTTGCTCTCCATGTGCACATGTTGCATGGAATCAGGGTACAGGATCAACAGCTGATCTATGGCTTCATTCACTTCATCAAAGTCAGTGACCAAGGACGTGGACTCCACCTGCGGTCCACTCTCCAAGGCCAGTGCTGTTTCGGATACCAACCACTTAGTGTTAGTGGCAGTCAAAGAACTTGGTATCGCGTTGCCCTGATCTTCAGCAATGAGTAGCTGGCTTTGTCTGTTTTGCTCATTTTCCAAAGGCTCTACCTTGGATGGCGTCACTGACAGAGAAACGTTAGTTCTCACACATGAACTTTCTTCTGCAACTGGTGAGAGGATGGAATCTACGTGCTGACTAGATGAAACTGATGCGACAAAGACAGATGAATGAGGTTCATGAACAAACAATGGAGAGGAAGCATGAGGTAAAATGATAGATGGAAGGAAAGTGCCAGGTTCCTCGTCAATGTGCAATAGCTCCAGGGGACTGGGTGTTCGTGGGACTGGAGAGGCTAAATGACCATCACTAAACAGAGACTGAGAGTCATGGGGTACAGATGTAGCATTTGCAGAAGTAAGCATAGACTGGGCAGCACCAGGAGCTGGCAAATCATTCTGAGCAGATGTTTCCTGCTCTTCATCTGGTTCAGGACTTACAGAGTCACCCTGAATTGAGAGGAAAGGAGAGCAACAGAAAGCAAGCAATAATGAAATAAATTGGGAGAAGAAAATAAGTTGGGAGAAAAGAACATTTTTACCAAAATATTCTCCATCCTACATTGTTGCCTCTCCAAAAGAGATATATATATATTATATGTAATATATATATATAAAAAATATATTACACACATATATATATATACATATACACACACACAATCTAAAGCTGTCCCAAACATCTTGGGTCTTATTCAACATTGAAACCTCCTCCAATGCCTCAACAATACAATGCAAAATTACATATGTATAGCGCCTTTCATGTCGGGAGTATGTCACAAGGCGCTGGACTGTCAGGGATTTGGACCCAAACGGGGGGAGGTTGTGATCAGAGAGGGGGGAAGGTATCAGTGTAGCAGAAGGTACAGTCGAAGAGGAAGGTCTTGAGAAGGGCCTTGAAGGAGGCAAGGGAGGGAGCGAGGCGAAGAGAAGATGGGGGCAGAGAGGTTGAAGGCCCGACCGCCGAGCGTGGAGCGGGTTGGGCGGGGGATGTGGAACTGGCCTGCTGAGCTGAGGGAGCAGACAGGTTGATATGGAAACCCTTCCTCTCAACATGAATACCAATTTAGTAGTCACACCCTCACCTTGAAAGCTCACATTGCATCCATGATTCCCTCCCCACTCCTGATGCCTAAGCCCATTCAGCACTCAGAGTAATAATTTACAGTCTGAGAGTTTTCTTGTCTCTCTCCCCAAAAACATTTTCTTCTTTTAATGATGAGGAAAGGGAGCATATTTTTGAATCATTCTCCCAGAACATTTCCTTTAACGACAACAGGAAGAACCAATGGACTCTTAAAATAACAGATACTGTGTTGGGTTGATTGCTACCTCAACAGACCCTGATTCCAGAAACCAATCTGGAGCAATTTAATTTCTCCCAAACTCACAAAAATAACCTTGCCTTCCTGTTACCTGCAATCTAACTGGAGTAAACAGATTATTGTGAGCACTTTGCTTTACTTTGATGAGTAACAGGTGTTTGCTGCTGGGCATAGCTTGCTGTGAGCTGCGTGTACAACAATCAAAACAGCTGACAAGGGCTGTTTTGGAGACAGATGCTTTCATCTGGTTCTTGAAACTGGTGCTAGACGCAGGAAGGAGTCTTGGCCGTACTCACATTGCTCTGGACCTTGAACTCAGAGAGAGACTCCATTAGTTCATCGAGCTCGCGGGTTGCCGAGGAAGCAGAAATCCGAGCTTGCTGCTGGCTGGGAGTGCCACGCTGTGAGGCCGCCCCTTCCACTGAAGGCACAGCTGCGGCGGGACTGAAAGCGAGACCACATTTAGTCAGCAGAGTCCTGGAACCACATCAATACACCCAATGGAATGGAATGCAGCAGCTGCATGCGAGAACTTCATACCAAATTCAATTAAAGCCAAACTGCATCATCGAAATGTCAAATCATCAATCAACACAACTGTAAAAGTGCCAAAAATCAGGGAAGCAGTTGATTAGTTCCACTGCGATGTTTCATTTGGATCAAATTGAGGGTTTTAGTCAGGAATGATTTAGTTACCACTGACCCATTCATACTAAGCCAACAGCAAGAAAGTGAAGACACCGTATGGTGCCCGGAACAGGAGAGAGCTCAGCACCTGCATCCCAAGGCTCCCAGTCAACACACTGCTCACTTCAACCTCACTATTAAAAACCTGTTTTCTTCCCTTTAGCCAGATACTAAACCACCTCCATGTTTTACCTTCTATGTCCCCTGACATTGTGTCATGGCTGGTAGGGGAGGGGGTAGAGAATTTAGACCCTTCAGTATACCTAGGATTTTTGTCAAAGTTCTCAAGGACCACAAGATGTCTATCTAGATGTGGGACACCGTACTGTTAGTGTCTCAATACTCACTCCTTGCTGGTCCCCGAAACTCCACCGACTATAAACCAACTCATCCAAAACGTCACCGCTGTGTCCTCATTCGCACAAAACTCTACATCTCTCCCACTTCCTTACTGTATGTCTCCCAACACTACATACGCCATCAGTGGAGGCCAAGCTTTCTGATTCTACATTCCTAACCTCTGGAACACCCTCCCTTCATCCCTTCAACTCGCCCCCTCTCTACCTTAAAACCTAGCTCATCGACTGCACCTATGGTCAACTTGTCCCCCCTCTCTCATCTCCTTATTTGGGTACTATTTAAATGCAAGTTGTTGTCTTTCTTTGGAAAAAAATCATGGAGACTCAAGGAGCACGAACTAATTGAGCCGAATGGCCTATTTTAATGCTGTTGTTATTCTATGTAATTATGTTCTCTAATATGTTTACTATCCATTCCTCATCCTTATTTTCAATTCTGTTTAAGTCTCTTAAGAATTGTAATTTCCTCCTCGACTACCTTCTTGTTATTATAATTGTAAATATTTATATTTATAATTACCAGATAAATTACTGTTATAACTTTGCACTCCACTTTGCACTCGCGGGTTTGTCACTTTCCAGTTAACTTTTAACACCTCCAATTCTTTTTAGCCTCCAAATTGTGAAACCTGTAGGTACGCCTCCAATACGTAACAGAACTAGCTGTACTAAAGTGTACACAGGTGCACACATTATCCAGAAGAAGGTTGCTTATCTGCCAAGACAATTTCACGTTGTGGTCTTACGTTTTGGTCTGCAAACCCTTCTGCCCAACTACATTTGACAAGATAAAAGTCACAAGACAGATGAAGAAAATACACCCTAAACAATACCTTGGACTGGGAACAGAACTCTCTAGTTCATCCAGCAAGCTCTCCACACTGGGTCTCACATCCTCAATCCCTCGGCCTCCGTTTCTCTTAGGTTTTTCTTTTGTTTGAGGAGGCACTTTTTTCCCCACCTGAGTTCCATTTTCCTGACCAGTGTATTGAGAGCTAGTCCCAAGCGTAGAATGGGAGCTGCGAATTGGCTCATCTGAGGAAGAGGCAAATCAACAATAACAATAAGAATCAATCGCAAAACAGTTAACAGCTCAACCCCAATTGGAGATGCACTTTGATGCAAATTATTTTCGAACCACATCTCTGATACTCATAATGTACTCTGGGCAAATTTGGTTCACTTTCCCCTGATCTGCAGGTCTCTATAAACCTGTTCATCTGGTCGTCAAGTGTTACTGATGCCAGGATCCAGCAATGCTTCCTTTTAACTTACTGTAAAACTTTTAATAGAGCCCTTTCATCTCAGCTATAGAGGTTGAGATATTATCAACACGTTTCCACTTGCTGTCAGTCCAAAACAAGCTGGCACAAATGTAAGATAGCTTGTAGTAGATCTGAAAGGGAGTTTAGGAGGAATTTCTTTACAGAGGATGGTGCTGTGGTTAAAGCAAAAAGCATCAATTTATATATTTGCTTTGCTCGTGTCAAAGTTCTCAAGCCCACACAATGTCCACACACAATGTAGATGTGGGATACTGTATTGTTAGTGTCTAATACTTACCTCGCTGAGTAAGTATCTATAAAACAACTCATCCAAAACGTCACCACTGCAGCCTCAATCGCACAAAACTCCATATCTCTCCCACCACTCCCCTGATTGCTCCTCTCCGGCTAACTAGGGCTTATATATATTTAAGAGAAAGCTCAATGCACACGTGTGAGAGAAGAAAATAGGAATCATGAATGCTCAAGGAGTATGAACTAGCTGGCCAATTTTTAGGCTGCAGTAAATGTAATTACGTTCTCATGCTTTTCTCTCACTCTCCAGTGAGACTAGAGAGAGAGAGGCTGTAGCCCAGAACTCCTAACATCTACACAGAAGGGGCATAAAAGGCAATGGAGAAAACAAATGCAAGAAAAAAAAAACTACAGTGGAAAAGATTGAAGATAAAGGCAACTCAAAGTTCTTTGAGGAGCCTAGGGTAACGGTGTGTGGTGCTGAGTTCAGTTTTTAAATACACATCTCCATTAAGATACACAGTCTCCTCCTGGCAACACAATGCCACGACAACAAGATTACACCACATTAACAATTGGGAAATTATGGTGCTTCCTTAATTCTCAAACAGTAGCACGATGCAGTGAGGTGTACAAGACAACACTGCTTGGACTATGGACCTTGAACAGGCAGTAGTGAGCAAACAGCGGATCCTGTAGCAAACACCACATTATACTATCAGCACTAATAAAACTTGCCTGTTACAAAGCTACTTGGTGGGTTGTGCTGAACTGCATTCAGTTCCAAGAGAAGGCGGTCCAGTTCGGACAGGTTGCTGCCCAGCGAAGCAGTCATGATCGTCGGTGAAGGCTCTGTGGACTTTGTCTTGTTGGGGAAGCTGTATTAATCAAAGATAAACAGCATTATTGTCTAAAAAGAACTACTTGCATTTGTATAGTGTCTCATTTAAACATAAATGCACTTTCATAATAATAATAATTCTTGCATTTGATATACCGCTTTTCACGTCGGGAGGACGTCCCAAAGCGCTTCACAGAACACACTGTAAAGTGAATTGACTGTATATTTGTGGGCGAACGCGGCAGCCAATTGCGCACAACAATGTCTCACAAACAGTCGTAGATTGAAAATGACCAATTTATTATTGTTTTTGGTTTTGGAGGGATTATTATTAGACGTGTGGAGTAAGGAAACTTGCCCAAGGTTTCGCCCTGCCGGGAATTGAACCCAGGTCTCTCGCTTGAGAGGTGAGTGCTATATCCACTGAGCTACAGGACTCTAAGGAAGAATGAGAAAAGAAAAAAAAATGAATAAAAAAAGTGAAATATAAAACGTTCTTCAGGAAAGGAGGAAAAAGGGTGACAGAGGGAGAAGAGAGAGAAAGCCGGTCACTGGTCCGGATTACTACCTGTAGACGTGGTCCTCTTCAGCTGAACGTGGTACAGGAGGACTGACAGATTCTCGGGCAATACCGGAGTTGCTTTTCACATTTGAAGAGTAATTCTGTTGCTGTAATTGGGAACAAAATCTAAATATTCTGAATTGTAATATGAAAGTCAAAGTGAAATTATTTTCAAACATAATATTTAAAAGCCAGATAGTTGCACTTTGTTATTTTAATACTTAATGACAACATTTTAGATACAAGGAAATACAACAGAAAATATCGGATCATCTCATTAGAAGCAAATATTTTATAATTAACTTTCAATCACTTGAACTCGTACTCTTTCAACCATCTCTAAAATAATCCATGCTGTACCTTTACGGAATTGTTCACTCCAGTGGGAGGGGACACATCCTCTTGGAAACCCTGCAAAACCAGGAAAAGATCAACCACCTAAATGTACAAAATATCGTCACGGCAAGATTCTTAGCAGCAAGTCTTATAGTTGTTGAACTGAAACCTGTATCATGTAGTTTCTAGTTCATTTCCAAGATACAATTGAATTAGTTTCAGCCAAACCTATTTGATATTATTAGTCACTCTTCCATCCCAATAAAAATCCTACCCTACCCCAGCATATTCTCCATCACAATCATATTGTGTCCTCCACTGTACCCAGAAATACACCCGACCAATCTGAGTGAAGCAGTCAGTAGTTAGTACAGTTTGTGCAAGCAGTTTATTGTGTATCCTTAAGTCCTGCTCCGAGGGTGATACCATCATTTAATTTCTGTTCTGATTGACATCTTCAAGAACATTGAACGTCCATCAAATTTTACATAACTCTCACAGTTGATTTCAGTCTCTGCCCAAGATTCAACACTCTTTCTTTCTTCTCATCCCCCAAAAATGTCAATCATTTTAGCCATCAACAAGAGCACCAGCTGCCACCAAAATAGATTTACGATCGTACGTAAATTGGTGGAACTCAGGGCAAGGGGGATGAAAAGAAGCTTGTAATTTGCTATTATACTGAAATGCCCAATTGAACAGGAATCCATACAGTGAGCGATTTCTTCCGCAAAGTGGTGAAAATTCAGTGAGGGAATTATGGTAAAAAGTAGAACACGGTTTACAGAATTGAGAATAGAAGGAACACCCTCAGTTTAGGCAGGTGATAAGACTGGATGGAGGAAGGAGAACACAGCAGCAGATGGTTTACCTGCTGGTGCCGATAACAGGCAATGGGAGGCTGCCACTGTTCAACTGTGTCGATGATCACTCCATTCAAAGCATCTGCAGAAGGTGGGGGTGGCACGGGTGGAGGCACAGACACTTCCTGGTAAGTATGGCTTCCTGTTGGATAGGAGTACGGTGTCTCCTCTGGGATAAAAACAGGCCTTTTTGAAATGTGTGAAGTTGTTGACTCGAGGTCAGCTAACAAGGCATCTGAAACAGAAGAGAAACCAATCCAGAATTAGACAAATTTGCTTGGACAAGTACCAGAGGGACCCGTATATTAAAGTATAATAAACAAACCCCTCTAGTATAACCATCAAGTTTTACTGTTTAATGTCTCACGATTATTCTTATTTGAAGATCACAAAGGTAAGATACAATATGGTTGTGGGAAGTAGGATGATAGTACATGTCCTAAACGTAATCTCAGTCAGAATCCCAGGGATAAGCACCCTTTACTCTTGAATCACACCACAAAACCATCAGTGCCCACCAGGATAGACACAAGGGGGTCTGGTTTAACTTCTTATTGGAAGGTTGCTGTTTCTAGCAGCACCGAGACCTCCACCCGAACACAGAAACACGTCAGCACAGAGGTGAGCTCAGGATATTTCACGCAGGCCAAAAAAATCTAACAGTAACTACATATTCTACCTCTAACACAAGCATATATGAAGAAAATGTTCATTCTCAAGAAAAAAGGACCTTAAGCAGAATCGCCATTAATTGAGTAGGCTGCTTCTGTAATGAGCCACAGCAAGTGGGAGGCGAGGAGTTTACTGAAGGAATCACTAACGCTTTCACTCCCTCCAAATGTCTGTAACCTTTCACTGGCTGTCACTTTAACCACTACCATTCCACTCTATCATAAGGATCTGAAGGAAAGCAGTAATCAGCAAGGGAAACTACACAAACTTTTGAAATTCCAACAAGGAAATCTATCTGCATCGTTTACCGAACATTCAATATGAACACTAATATTATTAAACCGAAAGTTGGGTCTTGGCAGACGCACTTCAGAGCTACTTTGTTAAGTCTTTTTCTGTTGCTCTTGATTGCTCTCATTCCAAATGATTATATTTCTGCTGTAGTGTGGGAGAGAAGCAGTTACGAGTCACTACACTATTGCTGCCAACCTAACCCATTTCAACACTCAGTATCTGGAACCTGCTCTGGAGCTGCCATGTGGATACATGCATACATACACCACTCAACACATTCCAAAGACACTTACTCTTGTGAGATCAGTTCCATTTCAGTTCATCGAAACAACAAACCTATGTCTATCCTTAAGTACTGGACAAAGGGTTTCATCACAGCACTGTGACGAAAGATAATACAATTTGTACTGCAATAGGAATGCAACCATTCCTATCAATAATAATTTATGCCTCGAAGAACAATGGCCAAAGGGCTTTTGATAACCCCAACACTACACTTGGAAAGTATTCAGGTACAATAAAAACAGTACACTCCGAGCTTTCCATTAATCAGTTAAACTAAACGCCCCAAAACAATGCCATGATTCATCAGACCTATTTATTACACCAAACCTGTGCAAAGTCCACGATGTAACATGCTGTTGGAAGCTGAACAGCATTTCAGAGTTAGTTCCATTGGAACACATCATTTCCTCCTTCATTTCTACAAGCATCATTATAATTTTCAAATTCTTAATTACATTCCTATAGCTTCTCTTTACAGGGGTTACTTGACTGCTATGTGGGGGGGGGGGTACGGAGAGAGAACAAAATGGCAATCTCACTTACACTATGCTTCATGTTCTGTAATTATGGCTCAAGTAAAGAAAAATTGCTTAAATACAAATTCACCGGTCATTTTCACATCCTGAAAACAATCATTCATTTATTTTTACAGAAGAGAAAACAAATCCCAAAGTTTTGTCTAGTTCTGAGATTTAGTTAATTACCTTCTACATCTAGTAGTCTTAATGCACCTCTCACATGGGCATACTGGACATTACGCAATTTATGAAATGGATGCACTACTACCCCTTCGGCAAGCAGTAAAATGCTTCCTAAAACATTATCTGCAGCTCTAATGGCTGGTTGGGTTTCACCCGTAATATATACAGTCAATTCACTTTACAGTCTATTCTGTGAAGCGCTTTGAGATGCATTTGACAAGGCGCTGTATCAAATGCAAGAATTATTATTAAATCATTATAGACTTTGTTCATTCTGGGCTCCTTCTTTGCATTTGTGGTCAGCTTCTCTCCTAGATCGGGCTCCTGCTTGCTCAGTCTTTGTAAAGCACTTTGAAATGTTTTCTCAATATGATTGGCACTATACAAGTGTTAATTATTGTTGTTGGGCTGTTTAAGTATTTTTGCAGGTCAGCTTTCAGCCCTTTCACGTTCAAACATTTGAAGATTAATGTAAGATTAATTGGGGTGTTTAACGGTTTGATTTTGATGCTATAATAAATAACAATCCTTACTCCTTTAACGTCAGGAGGACATCTCAAAGCACTTCACAGGATATACTATAAAGTGTTACTGCCTGTGCATTTTGTGGGCCTGTTGTTATGACACAACATCAAACACCCTAAACGTAGGAATCTCTCTGTGGTATGAGGAGCTAAGACTTTCACCATGCACCCTAGCATTATCCAATACATTACTGGACTGAGGATCCCAGCTCCTATCTCCAGAAGAAGGGTAGTTATCCTTCAATTGCTTCACACAGATCCCTCAAGCCTCTCATTTCCTTGCCAAGTCTCAGGCAGCAACTCATAATACCTTATCAAGTTTATTGAGTGGAATTGGGGAGGAAGAAGGGAGGTGTACCTTAATCACTACATCTACGCATTCCAGATCACTACAAATCCCGGTGGGAAAAATGGACAATTCTGCCTTGCACACTAACCTAATTTAAAAGAAACTTGAGTTCAGTATTTTGGTCTAAAGCCAAACTTGTACTCCACTGAGTAACGCACTGCAACTTGTCACAGAAGTTTGCTAAGCTAGAGAACTCTGTGACACTCCAGTGGGTCCAATTTGTCCAGATTACTTGAGCATTATGTACTCTTCAGTAACATATTGGAATGTGTGACTTAATGTAGCTGCCAGAACACTTCAACAACAACTTGAATTTATTTAGCACCCTTCACACAAGGTAGTATTACGGAGCATTTAATGAAACATGCTAAAACTCAGCAATCCTCAACATGTATACAGATTGATAGCAGTCACAAAGTCCGGATTCCTTTATTTAGTAGACGTTGTTAGAGATTAGTCGTGAAAACCTTTAGTCCAAGAAGGCTTCCAGAATAATTAACCGCAGGTGTCAAATTTCTACAGCAGCAACTTACCTTTCTAAAACTCGGCAATAACTAATTCCACTTTGCACAGAACTTTCAGTTGTTACGAGCTACTTATTTGATTGAGGGCATTTTCAGGATATGAAAGAGTCTGAGTGTTGAGCTGGGATTCCAATTCATAAAATGAGCTATAACAAAAAGCTGAAGTGGACTTCCATTGGATTTGTACATAATAACACCACATCATTCTGAACAATCAAGTTCAGATTTGCTCTTCAAATTTAATACGACTCAAACCCAGCAATATGCAGCCTTGGCTATTGCTGGTCGTAAAACTTTTAGCTGGTCCAGTGCAGCAAAAACTCTTATTGCTCAGTTAGTAATAATGATTTACATTTGATATAGCGCCTTATCACATCTTCGAGACGTCTCACAGCGCTTCACAAAATATACTTCACAATATATAAAATATGCATATTTTGTGGGAGAAAGTTAAGAATGAACTCTTCCTCAGATTTCATCTTGTAAATTGTTCAGGTCTTTTTCCTTACACTGCCGCTGCACTCGGTTAGAAGTCCGACTATAGACATCGAGATGTAGGCTTTCCCCTTCTACTGATGGCAGCAGTGCAGAAGTACCAAACTAAGCAGTCACTAGCCCAGTCGTTATTTCTCATTTTTGAGGAGTGATTTGTGTGATTGCTTTTTAAGGACCTTCCACAGTGCAGAAGCTTCACTTCTTTGGTAGTGTAGGGAAGAGATTGAAATTTGCAATTCCTGACTTTGAAAATAAATGCTAACGTAGAGTTGTTGCTACGTTGTCGGTGGTGAAGCAGTATCAGTAATAATAATAATCCTTGCATCTCATATAGCAGAAAGACATGTGAAAACACTTCACAGGATCTACTGTAAAGTGTAATGACTATATCTTAGACGAATGTAGCAGCCAATTTATGCATATCGGGGGAATTCTATAGCCCTAACCTCTGGAACTTTCCCTTAGTCGTGCCCCCCTGCCGCACAGTCTTTAAGTCCTACCTTAAAACCTACCGTTTTGACTGCACCTCTGGTCACCCCCTTCCCTCTGCTCAGAGTTTGTCAATCACTCTAAAGAACTCTGACACATTATCCTATGTGAAGGGTGCTATATAAATGTTGTTTTTGGCATAGACACCAGAAGAAATTCCCTGCTCTTTTCAAATAGTGCCACAGGATCTTTAACGACCTTGTCAATAGCCTGAACCTCAGTTTAACATCTCATCCAAAGGATAACAACTCCAAAAATGCAGTATACTCCCTGCACCACGTTTCAGTGTTAGCCTAAATAAGTGGTGGCCAACATTTTTGGTCGGCCCACAAAATAAATGTTCTTGATTGAATATTTCTTGATTTAAGCCATAAATCAAGAAATACTCAATCAAGAAAAAGCGAAAAACACACCACCGATTGCACACAGACGTACCTAGACTCATGCAGATTTGGGGGGTGGGGTGGGGGCTTCTTGACCACCACTGGCCTAGACTACGAGTTCAAAGTACCATAATGAGGCTTCAAACCACAGCCTGACTCAGAAAAAAGAATGTTGTCAATTGAGCTATGCTAAACACATTCCCCAAAACCGTCCAGAAAACAAAGTTCAAGTTAAAATTCACAGCTGGCAAATAATGGCGATTTGTGCAGGTACTTTGGGATCCTATCCGCAGAGAAAAACGGATAATAAATAGTCTTTCCATTTGATGTAGCGTCTTTCACATCAGGAGGATGTCTTAAAGAACTTCACAGGATGTACTATAACGTGTAGTAACTGTACTTTGTAGCCCGATGAAGCAGCAACTTGTGCACAGCAAAATCCCACAAACAATCATTAAGTGAATGAACCAATTTTATCTGAGGATCTCGGTTTAATGTCAGATCCAAGACTAGCAGCTA